GGTGCGCCAGGCCCATGCAGTAGTGCAACACTTGGGCGACGCTTGAGAGCCCCAATAGCAAGCTACTGTGGTGAGCCCTCCCCCTAAAGAAATTAATTTAATATCGTGTGGGCCATTGGCTCACGTATCAGATATTAAACTGATAAGAACAGATACTACACTTGATCTTAGCCAAAAGGCCGAGAAAGGTATGCTTATTACCGTGTTGGGCTGATTATTTTATACACAGCTACGCTCTCCTCCTGTCTTCAACTGGTCGATGTGGGACAATGTGAGTGGATGTGGGACAATGGGATTGTCAATAACCTGTCTTGAAGAAATCTTTGCAGTCTTTGTGCTTCAGTGCAAGTACATCTAAAGCCTCTCCTCCACAGCCTTATTATCATCATAGGTATAAATCATCCAATAATTATAAAACATTTTAGAAACTGAACCAATTTATTGATTTGCTAAGGTGCTACAAATGAAAGAAATATAGATAATCAACCTCATTGGCAACATCATTCATGCCCTGCGCTGCCTTGTGGGACATCAGCTTGTGCAACTACTGCACTGTACTTGTCCTTTGGTTTGATCTTGACATATATATCAAGCCAACGTCTCAGCATGATCTTGACATAATTTGGTTTGGTTTTCAAATGCTAAAGTTTCCATAACCTCAGCATGAACTCTATATATATATATATAGAGAGAGAGAGAGAGAGAGAGCGCTTTCATTGAGGGATCCCTTGAATAACTTATTTGAGAGACACCTTTGTAGGACCCACTCTGCATTGTATTTTATTAATTCAAACATTTTTTTATAAAAATAATCATTCAAAGATCATCTCTACAAAAAATCACTTGAATTCGATATCATTTGACCACTCAATTGAGTTATTGTAATTTTAGTACTTTCTTAAAGCACCATGTTCACAAATAGATCTAGGTTTTGCTTGAGCTTGCTTGTATTCCTTTGTAAGAATCTTTTTCTACTTAGTGGATTGCCTAGTCGGTTGATGACTCCCAGTTTTTCCCAATGGTGGGTTTCTGGGTAAACAAAACCTGTTTTGCATATCTGTAAATTTATCTGGGTTTCTGTTCTTGATGGTTGACTAGTCATCTATATCTGCTGTTTGCTGTTTACTTGATATTGATGACTTCACACACTTTCACTATAGTTGTTGCTAGCACAGGGGATGCCTAGATTGATGGGTCCTTCTGAGTGCCTAGGTTGTCACTAGTAATCTTCTAGGACTGCAGGTACTCTGTGGCATACTCTGTGTGTTCTCTTGATTGTTGAGTTGTTGTGTCTTGTTTGTTTAGTTAAATTTACCCCTCGTCACCTAAGTATCAATTTCAACCATGTTTATTGATTTTGTAGGACACAATTAGATATCTAAACGGTTTCCAATTTGTCTTATTTTTTGTAAGAATGATCTATGAATGAATACCTAAAAATTAGATGGTTTGAATCATTTGAAAAAAACAATTATAGAGTACCTTAAAGTGCGTTCTTATTTGAGAGATTCCTGGTTATAAAAGAGTACTAATATATATATATATATATTGATGCATAATATTGGGTCAACAAGATCAAGAGAGTAAAATCAGAGTCTCACAAAGTACACGAGTATTTACCTGGTTCATTCAAATTGGAGTAGATAGTAAATCAGTTGTCAATTGTATTGCCTTTCACCATAAAGGTTACATTTACATTGAAAATTTCTCCCAAAGTAGGGAGAGCCTCTTATAAATAGATGAGGGTTTGGGCCCTTCATTGGCTTCTAATAGCGCTGGGCATAACATGGTGATACGAGAGTAAACGGGTAGAGTAAACTAAAATAAAAGGATATGTAATGCATGGTCAAAAATTTATGGGAAATGCTATTATTACTGTAGCAAAATTCTCAAATAGCGCGATTACTGTAGCTAATCGACAATATCGGTAGTGTTGATATAGTTTTTTTTTTTTTTTAATGTTCACATCAAGAGTATCTTGAATTGTATGTTATCGAAATAATGAGACAATATCGACAACATATTAAGATAATCCCAATATAATTAGTGGAACATACAATTATTGTAGCAAATAGGTCATATGTGGAACATACATTTCCCGATAATTATAGGTCGGTAGCTCACAATCATATACTAGATAGACGGCTGAAAAGTCAAATATCATCTTATTACCACAAGAAAAACACAAGGATAAGATCAGAGGGAGCATATGGGTCCAAACATTTCGTGGCTTTGATACATTTTCCATGCTATTAGGGTTAGGAGTTATTCTCTAATCATGTCTTTGAATAATATAAGAAAAACTTGCTTTCCACCAATAGGACTTATTGTGTCGTTTTGTAATAGGATTTATTGGTATGTCCAGTTATCGCTTGACATCATATTCTGTATGATATTTTTCTTTAATTTTATAAAAAATTTCGTTGACGTGTATCTCAATCTTTCATATGTGGTTTAACAAGCAAGACGGCCCCCCATTTTATTTTGTTTTTTTGTTTTTTTTTTTGAAATACAAGTAATGGTCTAAATTACAAGGGAGGGGTGTTTCTCACACACGCATTATCAAGGTGTTATGAGAGTTCAAACTTGAAATCACTAAGCTGCAGATCAATGTCATTTTTCATTGGGTTAGACCCCGTTGATGAAGTAAGACGAAACCTTTGACAAAAGTGATACTTGACTATATATAAGTAATAGGTCTTCATATTTGGCACAGATTAATTGGTGATATAATTGCAGGATTCCATATGATTTGTCTAATTTTCATTAGCAATAGATAGTAAAAAGGATCACGAAAACAATATATACTAAATATTAAGATAACTGTCTTTGTCAGCCACATGGCATGTTAATATTTTCCACCTAACATAAAATAAGTAATATGTGTCCATAATTTAAGGCAAATTATGACACGTAGAAGGCAGTCGGTACAAGTTATTGTGAATTTGTGAGAAATAGTAAAAACGTGGAAGTTGTGAATCTCTATATTAAGAAAAAGAAAAATATTTTACGTAAAGTAAAGAAAAGAAAAGAAAACAACAAGTAGAGTAATTAGTTCCAAAACTAAAATCATGGTCACTTTTGTTTTAAAACATAGAGTAATTAGTCAAAACACGGTTTCACGATAGCAGTCAAATTTAACTCTAGTTTTGAATACTTATGTATCTTTTATACTAGTATATATATATATCGGCTCTTCAATCGTATAATTCTAGCTTCATCCATGTTGTCGGAGTTGTAGGGGTTTACTCCGTACCCATCCCTAATAGAGTGTTGAATCTATATTTATTTATCATTTTAACCTCAAATACTTTATAAAATTATGAAATGATTCCCCTGAACAATATCAATTATTTCAAACCCTCAAGAAAAAAAAAGGAAGTTTCACTATTATACTTAATATAGGGGCTCAAGTTATAAATAAAAAAACCTATATAAAATGGACTTTAGAAACACACCTCAAGCCCATTTACAACATAACAAAAATGTTTCGAACTTCCTATAAATTACAAAACTTTCTTAAAACAAACTCAACCCCAAAACCTCATAAAAAAGATATGAAACACTCAATATGGTATCAGAGTAATTTAATAATAATAATTAAATGCAATAGGGCTAGCTGTCATTTTTTGGGTTTTTTTTTGTTTGTTTATAGAAATTAAATGGTGTAGGGTTTATTATATCACTAGTGCTAAGCACTGGCGGATCCACAGAGGCGCACCTCCCCTCGCCGGAAACTTCCTTGGGGATGCCGGAATTTCCCCCTTCGCTAGTGCCCACCAATTGTTTGACTAAATGCCTCAAAGACGTTGTATTGTTTGCTGCTGTTTGAGACCCTGAATATTTACCTTATATTATTGGGCTCAATCTCACGAGCATGTAGGAGAAAACGGTTCATCAATCGGAGCTACACAACCAAAGTTATGAATTTTCAAAGTTTTTCTTGAATATTTGAAGTTATGTTGCAGAGGAACAGTTTAAGGAAGAAGAAGACTCTACGCTTCTGATTTTGATTTTTTTTTAAATGGCCCAATAGCAAGCCAACACATGTCTATTTCTAATTGGCCTAGCTTAAAAATTCATTAAATACTCATATGTGTGCCAAAAAATTCACCGAAAATTACCCCAAACTTCTAATCACGTGTACATTTATTTCATGACCTCCAATTTACATGTGCTTTTGGTTAGATTAATTGGTAAATTTTGGTTAGATTAATTGGTATTAACTTTTGTTAGATTAATTATGTAATTGACATGGATTTTGTTCATATTTGATATGAATTTTGGTAAACAAACTGTGTCAATGACAAGGATTTTGTTCATATTAATTGATATCCATATAGACTATAATAAATTAGTTGTAGACGTAAAACTTTTATTTGTTTTAATTATGAGTGACATTTTGCACCTCCCCTGAAAAATTCCTGGATCCGCCACTGGTGCTAAGAATGGGTATATAACTAAATATCTTAAATTAAAAAAATGGTATATTCACTTTGGTAATGTTTCTTTAAAACACATTTATTTTTCTCTAAGAATAAACAATATCCATAATTAAAAAAATTAATGAATATATTATAACGTTGTCTACAATTAAAAATATTTAGTAATTACGAATAATAAAATAAATAATTATGGGACACCCAAAAACTTAAACAATGCCAACAATAGCTTTAAAGAAAAAAAACTAACAAATGAAGCAACACATTATCTTCAATCGATAAAAATAACCATAGCTTAAACAATGCCAACAATACCATGTTTGTTTACTATATAGAAACTTATAAATATAATAAATCGTGTATATATTAATTTTTTTTTTTTGTGGAGAATAGTTTTAGCCACGACAGGCTGAAAAAAAAAAATAAAGAATAAAAAATAAAAATCCCCATGCAATTCCGTACGTACACACACGGTATAATCTCCGAGAACCTTTCGTGAAATCCACAATATAAATTAACCACATCCGACAATAAATCTTTTGTTGTTTTGCTTCAACTTCTTTGTTCATTCAATTGGCTCGATCTGTCGGAGGCTCAATCTCTCTGCAGGCTTGGTGAGCGTGGGTCTCTGATAAGATTGAAAGTAATTCTCAGGATGAAGATAAGCAACAACCTGTTGGGTCTTCTCAACATCCTCATCTTCTTCGTATCGATTCCAATTGTCTATTTCGGGATAATTGCGAACAAGACACACAGCGGAGGAGAGTGCCTCGACCTTTTTAGGAAGCCCTTCCTTGTAGTCGGCGTTTTCGTCATGGTGATGTCAATCTTCGGCATAATCGGGGGGTGTTGCCGGGTCCCTTCGATCCTATGGACGTACCTCGCCATCATGTTCCTCGTCTTGTTCGCCTACTTCTCCGTATGGATCTTCGCCTTCTTTATCACTTGGAAACCAGGTGGTGGAACGGAGATTATTGGTACGGGGCACAAGGAGTTTAAGCTTAATCGATACACCGAGTGGATGCAGATGAGGGTTCAAGACAAAAAGAATTGGAAGAAGATCAAGCACTGTCTCATTCTTGGCGATTACTGCCCTAATTTGATGCCCGGAAATGGCACTTCCCTCCGGGATTTCAACAAAGTGGAATTGGCACCAGTTTTGGTAAGCATACATATACAAGTTTAATATATTGCTTATGGTTTTATTATTTTTTGGGTATACAAATTAATTTTTTGAGCTGGCAGCGCTCTAACTCTTCGCTTCACATGAAACTTATTTCGGGTGGTTTTAGAGTGCTTTGAATGAAAATAACCCTAGTTAGTTTATAAATGGAGAATTACTATGTATACCATATTTAAAAACTTATCATGCACTATTCATGGCTCATCACTAATTCATTGAACTTATATAGAAGAATGTATGATGAATTTTTTGGAGTGTTAGTAAAAACTTCATATTAGATATTAGGGGTTTTAGGATCAAATAGTCCTAAATTATAGTTCGATTTGCATTTTGGTACTTCAATTCCAAAATGGATGTTGTGGTCCTTCAACTCCACTTTTGATGGCATTGTTGAACATGTTGTATGTTCTATTAAATACAGGGGCGAAATGGTTTTTTTATATTATTTTTAGGGAAGGGATTTGAATTTGTGTGCAAAGGAGCTGGCTCACTGCCCTAACCAATTCGCCTAACGATACAACAAAAATGGCAACAGTTACCATTATGTCACCAAATTTGGTGACTGTTGTGGGGGTTACTAAAGGCTTTAGTTACCTTTTTTTGACTTTTTTGGTGACTAAAAAGACTTTTAGTCACCCTTTTTACTTTTTTTAGTGACTAAAACCTTTAGTAACCCCCACAAAAGTCACCAAATAATGGTAACTATTGCTACTTTTTTTTTGTAGTGTGTAACCCTAGTCTGCGCATATAAAGCTTTAATGGTAGACACTTAGCTTAAGTTTGCACTACTATTATAGTATATATATGGGTTTAAATATATTGACTACAATTTCCAATTTATATAATGTTTGCAGTCTTCTCGATCGGATTTAACAAGGATCTTTAATTATGTGTTTATGTTGATTTGCAGTCCAGTTGTTGTAAGCCATCAGTTGAGTGTGGATTTAGCTATGAGAACCCTACCGTGTGGAAGAAGAAGAATAACAGTGCTTCTTCCAACCCTGACTGTAAAGCATGGGACAACGACCGAAAAGTTATGTGCTTCAACTGCGAGTCTTGCAAGGCTGGAATGCTGGAACAACTAATAATTTCTTGGAAGGCGATGCACCTTTTCAGAACCCTAATGCTTGGCTTCCTCTGTTTTGTGTACGCTGTTGCATGCTGCGCATTCAAAAACACCAGAGAGAAATTCTGACCATTAATGGACGCATGCATGCATTGAGAAGTTAATTGGACGCATGAGATGATCATCATGTAGATCAATACTGTTTCAATGTAGGATTGGGAGCTACCCAACAAAGAACCGAGTTCCTACGCGCATCCTTTATTTATTTATATTTCTCTATTCGGATTTGCTTGAGTTTAAACAAAAGACTGGACCTCATCAAAATACAATCCAAAGGGTTAAAAGAACTAACACATCAAGACCTCATAAATAAAAACTATACTAATGAGAAGGAAAGAAGTGTTTTTGGATTTGAAATTACAAAGAAAACATAGAATTACCATGGAGAAAAAGAAACCGATACCTTCTTGGTATGTTGGGCAATATTTTTATAGTGAGCAACACTGTGAGTTTTAACAAATCATAATCATAGGAGAAACAAAAGCGATAGAGGGAAAAACAAAGGGCTTTGATTGATTTTCAGACTTCGGAAATAAAATGGTTTCTGGGTGAGAGGGAAACAAAAGCGATAGAGGGAAATAAGAAGGATCCTTTGAGTTTCAGGCCTTAGTGGGTTTTGATAGATGAAGCTGTTATTAGTTCGTTTCTTTAACCATTAAATTTTATTTTAATCAGGTGGAAACTTTTCATTAAAAGTTAGCACAAAAAAACCAGGCAGAGCCAAATGATTGAAACTTACCAAAATTGGATTGATCGGTTTGGGCGGATTTGAATACCCTCTTTTTCTCCTCCAACCCCTTTCCGATGTATGCGTGAAAGGTTTCTAGTCTTGGATAAATACTTTCCATCATGTTTACTATATATGAAAGGTAAGATTCTTACACCATCAATTTAAAACGTGTATTTAGACATTTATGTATTCTCCCCCATGGAAATATGTACGGTTGCACTATATAATCTCCGAGAACTTTTCCTGGAATCCACAATATAAAATCAACCGCATCCTACAATCATTGTTTTGGTGTTGCTTCTTCCTCTTCGTCTTCATCTTCATTTAAACATTTTGATCAATAATCTATACATCTGAGGCTTAATCTCTCTCGTTTGAGGAGTTTGGGTCTCGGATAAAAAAGTTATTTCAAAATGAACCTACCAAACAACCTGTTGGGTCTTCTCAACATTCTCACCTTCCTGATATCGATTCCAATCGTCGTTGTCGGGGTACAGATGAACAGGGTAAGTGGCGCTGGGGAGTGCTTCGAGTTGTTCAGGAAGCCCGTCCTCATATTGGGTGTGCTGATCATGGTGATGTCCATTGTGGGCATAATCGGCGCATGCTGTCGGGTCTCTTGGGTCCTATGGATCTACCTCTTCGGTATGCTTCTCCTCATCATCTCCCTTTTCGTCGTCTACGGCATAGCCTTGATTGTCACGTGGAAATCAGGCGGCGGAACTAGGCTTCCCGGGACAGAGTTGAAGGAGTACAAGCTTAGCAGCTACTCGGATTGGTTGCAGAATAGGGTTCAGGGAAAGAGCTGGGACACGGTCAAGAATTGTCTCGTTGTTGGCGATGGCTGCTCTGAAATGCCCAAGAATGACACTACACTCAAGGAGTTCAATATGAAGGAGTTGAACCCCGTTATGGTATACATTTTGGAATATTTACATTTTTTTTTTCCAGGTCTTTCTTTATTTTTGGACTGTTGGCATGTCATTGGTGTCTCTACTAGTCTTAAATCATCCTACAAGTTATTAATTAGGCGGCGAGATTATGTCAAGTAAAACATTCTTTTTGGTGACCTATAGAGTTCTTACGCGTGAGAAATCATCTTCTTCCCCTATAGTTTAGTTTAGACTATCGCTTGCAAAACCCAAAAAAAAAAAAAAAAAAAAAAGAGTAACCTACACTTGCTATAATTACCCCTATGGTGCTCTCATCACTAATCAATAGTACTAGTAAAAAATGCATTCCAATATGAACATAGTAGTAAAACTGGATTACATTGTTGAAAGAGAACGACTCATTTCAATCTAGAACTCTTGCAAGCTTTATACTTAATGTTTTGGTGCCCCCTCCATGTAAATATAAAATTCTGCTCCGCCCGTGACTATAATATACGATACTAAATATTCATCCATAAAGTTTATGTTGTTACACAGTTCAGAATTCAAATTCGGATTTTTAACTTGGGGTGAATAGATTAAAATGTGTTTGATATTATTTTGCAGTCTGGTTGCTGCAAGCCATTAGCTGAGTGTGAATTTAGCTATCAGAGTCCCGCCGTGTGGAACAAGACAAAGAGTGCTTCTTCCAACTCTGACTGTAAAGCATGGGACAACAACCCAAAGGTTAAGTGCTTCGACTGCGATTCTTGCAGGGCCGGAATTCTGGAGCAGCTGCTAATTACATGGAGGAAGGCTCACTTTTTCAAATTTGCATTGATAGGGTTCCTCTCGGTTATCTACAGTATTGGATGCTGCGCTTTCAAAGACAGCAGGAAGAAACCTGACTATTGGAGGCAATGATAAAAAGAGTTGAAGCTGGACCAACTTTTGCATCTTCCTCTTATTAGTTGCTGGTCAACCGCTGGTCCTGTTGACTACTTATTTTTGGATTGGAAGCCATCCTAAGCTTGGAAACTTCCTCTAGTACAATTTTTTTGGTTGTTGTTTTCCCTCCTGTAACTAAAATGATAGCTATTATATTAATCACTAATTTTTGTTTTATTTATTTAGTAATTAGATTTTTATGTCAAATACGAATTAGGGCTTCCTACCAAATCCAAATTAGGGCTTTGTACCAAGTTTTTGTTCGTGTAAAAATTTTCCAAAGCAACTTTCGGATTCATTGAAAAATATGCGCATTTATTCATTGCTGAACTTTTGCAGTCTCGCGTTGAAATGTCCAACCATTTATGTAATTTCCTAGGAATTACTCATCATTAATTAAGTTGTGAAGATTAATTCTTGTTCTTGAAGCACACTTGTGTCAGCAGCGTTTTACTTTTATTTTTTTATTTTTAGAATAAGCGAAAGTTTTTTTTAAAATTTTTTTATAAATAAAACAAAAGTACAAAGTAAGAATGTGTTGAATATGGGTAACCTTCTCAATTACCAAATGCAACATGCATATGTTAAATTGATTTGGAGGGAATCAAGCAAAACCCAAAAGTGACTAAAATCTCTAACTTAGCAATTAGAAGCACATGTATTCAAACCTTGCAATACAGATCCGCCGCGCAACAGTAGAAACGGAAAATCCGTATCGAAAACTGAAACTAAATAGAAAAAACAAACAACCTAATTAAGCAGCGTTTTCTTTCATAATTTTCTATTATTGCAAGTTTATCAAATATGATGTGATGTAATTTTGGTAGTCATTAGAGAATCTATCATTCTCTTTGAAAGAGAGGAGTTCATAATAATGAAGACATCTCTAACAATATAAAGTACATAATAATTGTTGATGCACAATTTTCGTTGAACCATTTGAAGGGAAAATAAGCTCAAGCCCAAATATGTACTTGAGCCCTTTAAACCTTATGTTCTCCCAATTTAGAGTGACATAGTTGATCTTCTTGTTGTGCCCCCCTACGCAATGAAGACCATACAATAAGTTGAAACCTGATAAAATTGGCAGAACCTAACTGACAGTTCGGGTTTGTTTGGTTTTTGTTTGGTTATTGATTTGAACTCGAACCAAACAAAGGGTATATGGTTCGGTGTCGGTGTGCAATATTCAAAACCACCGATTTAACCGAACTACTTGTACACGTGTCAAGCTTCTATTCGTTTTTGGTGTAAAACCTATAGACCGCATCACAGAGAATTCCTAGCCCCCTCCTCCGGTAAACCCAGCCACACTATACCACCAACGTCATGTGTCAAATCACTTGCAACTGCTTAGGGATGGCAAAAATCCCCTCGAGGGTGGGTCCCCGACCCTAACGGGGGGAGATTTCAGGGCCAAACAGGTATCGGGTACGGGGATCCCCGAACTTGAAAAATCCCTTACGGGTATGGGGAGGGGATGGAATTGGTGTCCCCATCCCCAAACCCGACCTGAAAATATATATGTTTATATTTAAATAAATAAATATTTAATTATAATATTTATGTTTAACCCTAAGTTAACCTCATTCTCCTAATTCTTCCTAATCTTCTCTAGATTTTCATATTGATGTGATTTTGAATAGTTGAGTTGAACTTTATAGTTAATTTGAATGTGTTGAATGATAATTTAATATGAAACTTAATGTTAAAATGTATTATAAATGTTTTTTATGCAAAAAAAAAATCAGGGATTCGGGGCGGGTATGGGGGATAGTCCTCTGACGGGGACGGGGACGAGGATTCCCCGAAACCTATTAAACGGGGATTGGTTCGGGGATAGGGGCGGGGATGGAGATGATATTGTCATACCCGGCCCCTACCCAGCCCGTTGCCATCCCTACAACCGCTCTAGCGTCAACTTCATCTACGCCTCCTTCCCTTTCCTCTATCTCATTGTCATCTATACGACACAGATTCGATGACCCCCAAACTCCAAGCCCTAGTCTTGGAGGCGGGGTTGGTTTGGCCAAGCTTCATCATACGAGAGATAGACAAATTTGATTTGAGCGTCTGTCGAGAACATAAGGGAGAAACACTTGTGTGAAACGTGTGATAACTATTCCATGTGGCATTTTTGTGATTGGTTGGGGAAGGCAAAACAATGTTATCTCCGTTTCACACATGTTTTTCTAGTGGGAAAGGGAACCTCTAAACGTAGATGTTTGGAAGATGAAAATGCAGCGAGGGGATGGAAGTTTTTTTATTATAATTTAACTTTTTTTTTCATTTTTAATGTTATTTTATCATTTTATATATTTGATTTAAATTATTTTAAAGAAAAAGAATTTATTATTATTATTTTGGTCCATGTGGACTATGCATAAGCACAAAAGAAAAGGGCACTTGTTTTACACATCAACAATTAAAAAACTTATGTTTTGGGTGACGAAAGGTCGCATTTGTATAGTTTCTGTAAGTTCATGTACCAATTTGTAGGATCTTACAAGTTCAGGTACTAATTAGAAATGACCTCCAAATTTAGAAGATTGTATGTAGTTAATCCAAAGTTAAATAATGAAAAAAAGTGGGCTTTATTTAGAGTATTGATTAATATATTGGGTCAAAATAATTAGATAAAAATATTTTAATTTGAAGTGTTGGATGCGGGCACTGGGAAGGGAGAGTATCTAACTGTGATAAGTTTCGTGTGGGATTTGACGGTGTGAGTCCGAGTGAAATTTACCTTGACAAAATACGAAAATTTACTCCGAATCAGAAAAGAAAAAGAGCTCCGTATTGGATATGCACGCGCACACGGTTTAATCTCCGATACGCTTCCGTAAAACCCACGATATAAAACACCACACCGTCCCCCTTCTCCTTCTCAATCCCCACAACAACAATTCCTCATTCTCCTTTTCCCTTCTTCATCTCTCTCAAGTTCGATTTTTGTGAATTGGGTTTTGTGATTTTAGCCTCCTTTCACAATGAAGATCAGCAATAACCTCGTCGGGCTTCTCAACTTCCTCACCTTCCTCCTCTCAATCCCGATCGTCGTAGCCGGAGTGTGGCTGAGCAAGCAAGGCAGCACCGAGTGCGAGAAGTTTCTGGACAAGCCCGTCATCATTCTCGGCGTTTTCCTCATGCTGGTCTCGCTCGCCGGCCTCATCGGCGCCTGCTGCAGAGTCTCGTGGCTCCTCTGGGTCTACCTCCTCGTCATGTTCCTCCTCATCGTCGTCCTATTCGCTTTCACCATCTTCGCCTTCGCCGTCACCAACAAAGGCGCCGGCAAAGTGCTTTCCGAGAAAGGGTACAAGGAGTACAGGCTTGGGGACTATTCTCACTGGCTGCAGAAGAGGGTCAACAGCACCAAGAACTGGAATAAGATCAAGAGTTGCCTTATTGATAGCAAGGTCTGCTCTACGTTTCGGGACAAGTATTTCAACGATACCATCTCGGAGTTGTATAAGGAGAACTTGTCTGCGCTTCAGGTATGAACAACATTCATGGGTTTTGTTCATTTTTTTTCAATTTGGCTTTGGGTATGTATTGAGCTTTGGTTTGTGCTTGGTCGAGATCTGGAATTTTGGTTCAATTTCTGGGCTTAGTTCTTAGTCTCTGAATTTGGGTTTGTTAACTTTTCATGCCTGTTTTGTTTTCAGTCTTGGATGTGTTTGATTTTAAGTTGGAATGTGGATTCTGAATGTGGGCTATGGCTAATTTGTCTGGTTTGATTTGGGTTTTGCTAATATTTGCTCCTGCGTATGCCTCCTTTGAGATCTGAATTATGGGGTTGTTAGGAAATGATCTGGGCTTGATGATATTACATTAAATTGATCTGGGTTCAAATTTTGTTTCAACTTGTTTGGATTACATTCTTTTGGTGTTGGAGTTCTGACTTTTTCACTTTCCAATTCGAATTTTGGATAGTTGTCTGGTTGTTTGTTTTGCTTTTTATTTTTGCACTTTATTCTCATTGAGAGTAGTAATTTAAAGATAATTAGTTTTATTACGAGGCCATCTTTACAAGTTTTCAACCAAAGGATAAAAAGGCTGTATTCTTTTCTGGTCCATCCTCCATTTGGATGACTGAATCTGCAACTTTTGTATGCTTTTCAAGTTCCCCTTTTTGAAATGAAGTCTATTGTATTTTCACTTTCCAATTCGAATTTTGGATAGTTGTCTGGTTGTTTGTTTGGCTTTTTATTTTTGCACTTTATTCTCATTGAGAGTAGTAATTTAAAGATAATTACTTTTGTTACAAGGCCATCTTTACAAGCTTTCAACTAAAGGATAAAAAGGCTGTATTCTTTTCTGGTCCATCCTCCATTTGGATGACTGAATCTGCAACTTTTGTATGCTTTGCAAGTTCCCCTTTTTGAAATGAAGTCTATTATATTTACAGAGGCTAAACTAGTAGATTTATTATTTAATTAAAAAATTATTATACTTTTAAAAGTGTTTGTACTAATCACTGTGCACGATTGATTCTTTAGAGAAACCAATTCCCATCGTAAAGACTATTTTTTAATAGCCATTTTGTGGTAGGGGATTGCTCTTTGTAATGTAGACATTTGGGGAACGTGAATAGCCCTTCTTTGT